CCTTGGGATCTTGGTTCGAAGTCGTCGGGCGCCCGAGGTCGCGTGCATTTTCGTTGTGTATGTGCGGGGCCTTCTCCTCCTCCTCCTCCTCCTCCTCCTCCTCCTCCTCCTCCTCCTCCCCCTCCCCCTCCTCCTCCTCCTCCTCCTCCTCCTCATTCTTCGTCGTCCTCCTCGAGGACCCCCGGCGCGTCTGCCCACGCCGCCGCCTTGCCAGGGTTGTTGAGCAGAGGAATGCTGGATGCCCGTCGCGCTTTCTTGGGCGGCGGTCAAGGGATTCGCGGGGCGCCCCCGTCGTTCCCGTGGGCTAGGAGGGACGGGCGCGGACCCCTGGTGTTGGAGTGCGAGCCAGAAGCTACATGCTTCAAGTGGTACCATTTGAGGTTGGGCCGCGTTGGGCATCCTTTGTGAAGTTTTGGGGCCCTCTTCTGCCGGCGTGGGGTGCTCTTGGAGGCCTCTTGGGCTGTCTTGGGGCGGCCTTGGGGGCCTCTTGGGCCGTCTTGGAGCGTCGGGAAGCACAAAGGGCGGAACGGTTAAAAATGTGCGTTGGCAAGACGGAAGACGCACGTGCGAGGTACGTCCATGGAGAAATCTTTCGGGCCGTTTTGGGGCCCTCTTCTGCCCGCGTGGGGCTCTTTCGGAGGCCTCTTGGGCTGTCTTGGGGCGGCTTTGGGGGCCTCTTGGGCCATATTGGAACCTCGGGAACCAGAAAGGGCGGAACGGTTAAACATGTACGTTGATAAGACGGAAGACGCACGTGTGAGGCACGCCCATGGAGAAAGAGGATGAGCGGACAAATGTAGATGCGGAGTGCGAAAAAGAGAAAAGCCCGAGGCCATGGCCAGGGGCGACGCCGTGGAGACGAAAAGGAGTATGACAATGTACTGCGCGAAGTGCATCCATGTGGCACGCTCGGGCGGCTATCAAAGCCAGAGGCTTTCCCGTGTGTGCTCCCAGGCCGTTCACGGTGGGGTTTGGTTGCCTCTGAGGATGTTCGGCGGAGGCAGTTTGGACCATTCTGGCGGGTCCGATTTTGGGCTATCATGGGAGCGCGTTGGGTTGCGTGTTCGATGGTGTGGATGTGGTGCGCTTCGTGTGGTTCGTGATGAGTGTCTGTCCTGGTGTGGTTGTGGTCGCGTGTTTGGTGCAGTGCGTTGTGGTGTCGGTGCGTGGTGTGGTGTGGTTGGTATTCGGTCTGTGTTTGTGTGGTTGTGGTGAGTGTGGGGGTGTGGCACGTGTGTGAGCGTGTGTGTAGATGCGTGTGTTTGATTCGGTTTGAAATGTGTCGTTGGGGTGCTTCGTCAGTGTGGGTGAGGTGATTTTGATTGATGCGGCGTTCCCCCTGTGCGTCATGGGTGCGCTTGCCTTGGTGTACTTCCGACGCCGCAAGGCGGCCGGCTTGGAACCTTTTTCTGGGCCTCTCGGGAGCGTCCTGGGCCCATTTGGGGATTTTTCGAGGGTTTCTTGGGGCCTCTCTTCGCAAGCCTGGTCGAGGCCTCTTGGAGCGTCTTGGCGCCTTCTTGGGCCGTCTGGGGTGATGCTACGCGCCTTCGACCGATGATTCAGCGATTTTGGGAATTCCTGGACCCTTGTGAATGTGTGTTCGGAGGCTCCGAGCCAAGCCTGGAGAGCCCGCACTGCCGTGGAGGAGCTCAGTCTGGGGCCGTGCGGCTTCGGGTCGTCACGGGGGTGGGGGGGATCATCTTACACGCTTAGAGACCGGCAGGGGCACGCCGGATTATAGAGGCGGTGGATCGGTTTCTTTGCGGTGACATTGTCGCTACGGGCGGGCTCCGTGCCAGTGCCTCGTGGCCCGCGCCCTACTTCCCGCCGTGCCTGCGTTGTGTGTACGAAGCCTTCGCGGGGAGGGCTCCCGCGGGTCTCTTGGGGACAGTGTCGAACGTTCTGGGGGGCTGGTACGGGGCCGCTTTGAGTCCGGCGACGAGGACGACGACGATGAAGGGGTCATGGATGTTGATCGGCATCACGGGGCTGACCTCTCGGAGGCTGCCTGGAGGCTGGTTCGAGGCGTCTTGGGAGCCGTTTCGGGGCCTCTTGGGGCCTCTTTTGGACCTCGTGGTGGGTGATTGGGGCCTGGTAAGGGGCCTCCTGGGAGTCCCTTGGGGCCTCTGGGGAGCTCTTAGATCTCCTGGGGCCTCTTGGGGCGTCCTGGAGCTTCTTGGAGCCCCCTCTTGGGCCCGTGTCGGGGTCCTCTTGGACCGCGTTGGGCATCCTTTGGGCCGTTTTGGGGCCCTCTTCTGCCGTCGTGGGGCTCTCTTGGAGGCCTCTTGGGCTGTCTTGGAGCGCCCTTGGGGGCTTGCGGGCCATCTTGGAGCGTCGGGAAGCAGAACGGGCGGAGCGGTTAGAAAGGTACGTTTTACGAAGGGAATGGGCCATTGTTCAGTCTGGGGGGCCCTCTTGGGACGCATCTTGGGGCCCCCTTGGGGTGTCTTGAAGGCTCCGGAGGCCGTCTGGGGACCGTCTGGAGGCCATCGTCGTCGTCTTCGACCGGTATTTTGGCGACTCGTTGCCTTCTTGGACCGTCTTGGGCGCCTCCTGGGGCCTTTTTGGCCCGTCTTCGGGCCCTCCATGCCCCGGTGGCGCGTTCGTAGGGGGCCGGGGGGGGGTCGAATCTCCAGTTTGGGGTCCGTGGGGGGGGGTTATGGGGGGGGAACAATCTCACACGCTTAGAAACCCACAAGGGGTCGGCGGATTTTTTGAGTATTCTTGATGATTTATGGGGCATTCGGCATTTTTTAAAGTATTTTTATTTTGTCGCCCAGAATCCGCCTGTAGGGGGGCATGCCCGACCTAAACTTATGTGCTGCAGGCCCGGGCGAATGCTGCTCTCGAGTCGGCGCCCCGTCCGCTGCAGGAGACGAGGGCGTGCAGGGGCGCTCCCTGTCGAAGACCTCGCCCACGGCGCCCGACGCCGCTAGGCGGCCGGGCAACCTCCCGGCCCTCCCGGTGGCGGACGTCCCCGCGGTGCCCGCCAGCGACGGCCATCGGGAGGGGCATACCACAACCCTAGGCACGATCGCATCGTGAAAAAATCAGGACGGGAGGTTTTGGGCTATTTTCGGCCCCAGGAGGCCCTCGCCGGGCCTCGGGACCGTCCAAAAACGACTCAGGACGAAAAACCGTTCCCGGGGAAGGGGTTGTGACTTCCAGGGGCGCCGTCTTGAAAAAGTCAGGACGTCGCATGTCTGGGACTATATCGGCGGCGAGCCCAGAGGCGGGAGGCGAGAGGGGCCCAGGAGCCCTTCGAGGCACGAGCCGAACAAAAACACGACGGGAGGCTCTTTTCCACCTTCGGGCTCTGGGGGCCCTTCCCGGGCCCCAGGACCATGAGAAAATATTATTCGCCACGAAAAAACAGTCCCGGGGAATGGGTCGAGACCTCGGGGGGTGAACGTAGTGACAAAATCATGACGTCGGGGGTGGCAAGCCTTCTCATAAGGCTCGAGAGGCCTCGGGGCTTCTGAGGAGTTTTCCGAGCCTTCCCCGAAGACGCACGAAGAAGATTGCTCAGAAGGCTTGAGGAGTGCTTCTGAGAAGTCCCGCCGCCTTCTGAGGAGGCCTGCCCCTTTCTCGCTTTCCCACGTGAGCTCGCCTCCTTGTATATCTAGGCCTCCCAGGACATCCGGCGTCTTGAAAAACATCGAGGAGCAATTATTGTTTCATAGTTTTCGGCTCCCGCAGGGCCCTTGACGGGCCGCGGGACCATCGTAAAACGACTCGGGATGACAGACTGGTCCGTGTCCGAGAGCTCGGGCGCCCGTGTCTTGAACCAAACCTGGACGCCAGATGCCTGGGACCCAGCCGGCGTCGGAGGCACCGCGCCCCGCCGCATCGCGGACGCATCGGCGACGCGGCTTGCTGCGGAGCCCGATTTTTTCTCCAAGCCTAGGGAGCCACATGCGAACCCCACCCTCCCCCTCTCAAGCAGTGGCGAAACGTCCTGGCTCGCCTATAGCCCTACCAAACAATGTTCTAAGAACCGCTTGTGGTTCCCACGAACTATTCTTAGAACATTTCCGGTTGATAGTGTTTTGTTTTAACACATCGGGTTTATGTTCTAAGAACATTGTTTTTGTTCTTAGAACATGTTTGGAACATTTCGTGCTAGGACTACAGGAATGCCGGGACTGTCGGTCCCTGCTCAACCCTCAGAAATCGTGGGGGGTAGGGGTAGGCTTCGCATGTGGTCCCCGAAAGCCGGCGGCGCCGATGCCTCGCCGACGTCACCGAGGCGTCGCCGAGGCGGCGCGACCCTCCGACGCCATGTGCTCGTAGAGCCCATGCGGGAGACCGCTGGGCAGGGCGTGCAGCAGCGGCACGCGTCGCCGGCGGGAGCCCGTCGGCGAGCTGCGCTCCCTGTGTTACGGTGGAGACCCATGCCAAGAAGCACCCTGCTTGCCTCCAGAGTGCCCTGTGTTCCCAGACCCCCTCGAATAATGGAAAAAACACGACGGGAGGCTTTTCCCAGTTTTCGGCCCCTGGGGGCCCTTGCCCGGCCTCAGGACCGTCAAAGAACGACTCAGGATGAAAAACCGGTCTCTGGGAAGAGGTCGAGACCTGTGGGGGTCGACGTCATGCAAAAATCATGACGTCCGGGGTTGGGGCTTCTTGGGTTTCGATGGTTTTGCGACGGGAAGCGTGCGGTTCTCGCCCCAAGACTCCAGGGACGCCCTGGGGCCCCAGGCTTTGGGTCTCTCTTGTGGGAGGCCTCTTGCGCACCGGCCTCCGAAGACACGAGAGGCGTGTCTGCGGCAGTGGCGCCCTCTGCGTGGCACCCCGGGCGGCGTGTCGCGGGTGCTGTTTTTAGAAGAAGAAGAAGAAGAATATGACGAAGAAGAAGAATAATAATAATACTTACAAGAAGAAGAAGAAGAAGAAGAAGAAGAAGACAAAACCACATAAACATAAACTTTTGGCGCTCCGCTCGGATTTTTTGGCTCCGCGCCTGGGCCCCCCGGCGGCGCCTCTGGCGCCGCCCCTGGCGCGCTCCGCGCGCCAAGGAGGGGGCCCAGCGCACATACAAGAAATCCGCGTTTTTTTTTTGTTTTCTCTCTCTCTCTCTCTCTAGTTTGGTTCCCCTGCAGGCAAGCCGCAGCCAACCGCCCCGCCCGACCTGTCGGCGGCGCTGCAGCGCTTCAAGGGGTCGTCCTTCGGCAGGCCCCCCTGGCCCGGGGGATGGAGCTTCTCTGCGGGGTCCAGACCTCTCTCGCCGCTCTCGGCGTTCGGGGACTGTTTTTGTTCCGCCCCCTGCGGTTGTCGGGGGCGGCCAAGAGGGAGGTGATGACTAGGGGGGGGTGGAGATCATGGAGTGGGCCATGAGATTTCCGCGGATCTCATGGCGCCTCTTCTTGTTCCATGACGTCCCTGGCCCCGCCCTTGGGCCGCGCACATGCCGCCGGCCATGATTTGCGCCCCCCACCCTTTGGACGCCCCCCTCTTGGCCGCCCCCTGCAGTTTTGAGTTAATCAGGGGACGATGTTTTGGCCATTTTCATTAGTTTTTCATATGTTTTGGGTGTGTGGATGTTTCGTCCAAAACCCCCTTGTAGGAGGACACGCCCGACCTAACCCTGCAGCGGGCGCGGGGGCCTTCGAGATCGGACTCGGGCCGGCGGGCCGGTCAGGATGGGCCCAGGGAGGGGTCCTTGGGACGATTTCGCATGGATGTTTGGAGGCCTGGCGGCACCAACACACCCAGACCCTCTCGAGCACTGACAAAAATCACGACGGGAGGTTGTTCACCATTTTTCGGCCTCGGGAGGCCCTTGCTGGGCCTCGGGACCGTCAACAAGACAACTGGGGATGAGAAGCGGGTCCCAGGGAATAGGTCGAATCCTCCGGGGGTCGACGTCATGAAAAATGCATGACGTCGGGGGTCTGGGCAAGTATTGGCGGCTGACTCCACCGAGGGGAGTTCACCCCGTGATATGTTTTGGAGCTCGTGGGTGGCCGAGGGAGAGAACCACCAGCGCTCTAGAATCCAGGATCATCTCCCCCCGTGAGAGACAAATCCCTTGCATTGGTCGGGGGCGGCAAAGAGGGGGTTGATGACTAGGGGGGGGGGGGAGATCATGGCGTGGGCCATGAAATCTCCCCAGATGTCATGGCGACTCTTCTTATTTCATGACGTCCCTCCCCCCCCCCTGGGCCGCGCGCATGCCGCCGGCCATGATTTGCGCCCCCCCCCCCTTTTAAGACAGCCCCCTCTTGGCCGCCCCCGAGTTGGTGTTGGCGCCGGTTTCCAGGCACCCGAGATGACGGCGTCCGCGGGCGAGAAGCCATACCAAGTGCTGTGCACCCTGTTTTGTTCGGCTCGTTGGGCCTGCCATCCTCATGTCGCCTTCGTCGCCACAGCCCGACGCTTCGCCTTGGACTCATTGTAATGATGGGCCTGCTTTCTACCACCACCACCACCACTGTAAGTTAGAGGGGGAGGGGGTCCTCCTCCTCCTCCTCCTCCTCCTCCTCCTCCTCATCCTCCACCTCCTTCCCCCCTCCAGCTTATGGTGGTGGTGGTGGAGAACAGGCCCATCATGTCAGACGCCACCCTCTCTGGGGAGTGGCGGTACCTGTATCGTTTGGTGTCCCGCCGGCTGGCGTCGCGCAAACTGGTCAGTGCGTGGCGGGTCGCCTTCCGAGAGGCTTCGACGTCGCGTTTTGCTCGTGGTCCTTTCCCAGCCACGAGAAGAGGGGGGTGGGTACCCTCATATTCTTCGTGCCCGTTGGATGTTCTTCTGCCTCCTGGGGGGGGTACCCTTGGATGTCCTGTGTGTCTTGGCCGGCGGATGGTCTCATGTTTTTGAAGGATGTTCAACGGTCCAGGGTCCACCAGTATTCAGCCACGCGCAGAGGGGAGTGCGGGGAGGGGGGAGGGCTTCTTAGAAGCACCCCTGCTTCTTAGAAGGCGCGGGCCTTGTCTATAGATGTATGGCCGGCGCCTTCTAAGGAGCAGCCTTCTTCCAAGGAGCCCTCCTCCCTCCCTCCACCCCCCTTGTGCGCGCCGCCAACTTTCCCTTGGGCCGGCTCTTCATTCAAGCAGTGGCGAAGCGTCCTGGCTCGCCTATAGGCCTAACAGAGAATGTTCTAAGAACCTTTTGTGGTATGCACGAACTGTTCTTAGTATCTTTCTGGCCGAGACTGTCTTGTTTTCGCACGTCGGGCGTATGTTCTGAGCACTGCGCTTGTTTTTCGAACACTCTTGGTTGCTAAGGACACGTCGTGGTAGGCCTATAGGAGTGCCGGGACGGTCGGCCCCTGCTCAAATCATCCTGCCGGCTCCGGGGCCAGCCTCCGCAGCTGCAGGGGCGAACAGGGCAGCCGGCCGCCACAGCATCTTGTTGCGACGCCCAGCTCCGACGGGGGCAGCGGGGTCAGCAAGGGCGCCCACGAGGGCGCGGAGGTATTCGCGCTCCGCCGCTCGCGGTCTGCTCCCCCCGTCGTGCTCAGGCCACGGGGTCCTCGTGTGCCCTCGCATGTCTGTCTTTCGGGTACCGTAGCGTCGTCCTCACCCTCGATGGCTTCGCGTCAAGTTGGCGTCGAGGAGCTACGATTCGCGCGAATGCGGCGTCGACGAGCGCCGAGCAGCGCCGATCCGCAGGCAGGAGCGAGCAACGAGCAAGATGGTATGGGATGCTTCCACGAGTTGCCACGGAACCTCTCCTCCCCGTTCCCCACTCTCCTCCTCGCCCTCGTCTTCCACCCTCGGGGGGGGGGGCAGGGGGGCGGGGGGGGAACGCGAGTGCACGAGATCGCTCGCGCGAGGCACTGGCTTGTAAGTACTCTTTGGACTAGAGTTAGGTCGGGCCTGCCCCTCTACAGGGGGTATTCAAAGATAGTGCAAAAATAGTCTGGATAGTCTGGGGACTACTTTCTGGGTATGTTTCCATCTTCTTGGGCTATTTTTGGGGTATGTTTCATTTTTCGTCGACAATCCCCCCTGTAGGGGGACACGCCCGACATAAGACGAGAGGCTGCTCGGTGCTCAGCTGGGGCGGGAAACCAGGCGGCGGAGGGCCTTCCAGACAGCCCCGAGGTCCACGCGCCTCGGCTGCCTCGGGCGAGCCAAGCTGCACATCTGCCCAGCTCCCCGGCCGGGCCCCTCCGGAGCCCAGGGGCGGTGTGCACGCGCCCTGCTGGCCGAGCCAGGAGCGGCGTGGCGCACACGCCGCTGCTGGGTTCCGGCCGGGACTGGCCAGGGAGCGGGGGAGAGATGCGTAGCTTAGCCTTCGTCGCCCTATAGCCCCACCCCAACCGCCAAATTCAAGTCAGACTCGAAAAAAGCAGCCCCCGACCGCCTCCAGGCGGCCCCGCACGCCGCGGCCGCCCTGGCCCAAAAGGGCGCTCCGGCGCTCCCCGGGGTATCTCCCGCCCCGTGCCCTCGACGAGTGACGACCGCACGCCGCGGCCGCCAGGCCAGGCGTGTTCCGTGCTCCCCGGGGTTCCCGCGTCGCGCTCTTGCGTGGGGGGATTCGCTCGGGGTAGGCTGTGCGCTTTGATCTTGTCGACCTGGCGGTCGGTTGGCTTCTGTTCGCGACGTCGGTCCTCGGGGATGCCCCCTCCCCCATCATCCTGCCCCCTCTCGCGCACGCCGCCAGCAGGCCAGAGTCCGAGAAGAAGGCCGAGAAAAGGAGCCAGAGCCCGAAGGACAACAGGACAGGCCGCTCGGAGGGCGCACGTATGCCGTATCCCGTTGGGATCGGCCCGGAGATGCCCTGATCTTCCAGGAGGGCAGACAATAGCACCAGGACCTCGTGATTGGAGGCCTCGTGGAGTTCCAAGCGGTCCTGAGAGTTGGATCTGGACGTGTCGCGGGCTAGTGCCTGACACCCCGGAAGGTCAGAGCACTCTGCTTAAGGGTCCCCCGGGCGCGGCGATCTGTGCCAGTGGGTCCCGGAGGCCTCGCCCCCTCCCCTGCAGGGGCTGGCCTCTTGGCGGCCCGGCGGTGGCCCCCGCCCGATGCCGAGGATGGCCCGGCACCATCCTCGAGCCCTGCTGGCGAAGCGTCTTGGCTCGCCTATAGCCAGGAGGGGAAGAAGCACACAGACACAGTGAATCGTCGATCCCCAAGAAAATATATGGAAATATGGGAATGAGACAAACACCCAGAAAATATATGAAACGATCGGGAATCTTTTCATTTGTGTGTATTTATGTGTGTGTATTTATGTGTGTGTCCTTGGGCCCCTTGATACAGCCCCACCAAACAATGTTCTAAGAATCTTTTGTGGCTTCCAGGACATGTTCTTGGAACATTTCTGGCGGAGTCTGTTTTGTTTTAGCACATCGGGTTCATATTCTAAGAACATTGTTCATGTCCTTGGAAAATGTTTTAGGGGAGCAAGAAGTGACATAAACATAACAACTCGGAGGTCCGCGCGGATTTCTCGGATCGGCGCTGGGGCCCCCCTGCGGCGCCTCCGGCGCCGCCCCTGGCACGCTCCGCGCGCCAGGGAGGGGGGTCCAGCGCCGATCCGAGAAATCCGTGCGGACCTCCGAGTTTTTATGTTTATGCATTTTTCGTTCCCCTATTTTGGGGTTCTTAAAAGATTTCGTGGTAGGACTATAGGAATGCCGGGACGGTCGGTCCCTGCTCGACATCCGCTGTTTATTGTCGTCGCGTCGGGCCCCCCGACCTCAACACGCGCCGAACCGGTCCCGACGGAGGTGCCTCGCCGCTCTCGGAGCTCGCCGGAGCCCTCGCCGGGCCCCGCGGATCGTGGGCGCGACTCGGGGTGAACACAGCCATGGGTCGGGGAAACGTAAGACTCGAGTTAGCCGGAACTCGGGTTTGCCGATTTTTTTGACGAGCGCGTCCTGGATTTTGACGGTCCCGTTCTCGTGGGATGTGCGCAGCGGGAGCCCGCGCCAAATTTCAGATTGGGTCTCGTCATTTTTATGATGGCCCCCGTCAGGCCAACCCGAGTCCCCCGTACCCGAGTCTTACGTCTCCGAATGGGGAAGGCACATCTCACCGGGCGCCTTCCACTACTCGCAAAGTGCCCACTCGCAAACCTCCGACAAACACACGTGCGCCTCGATGTCATTTATCGTAGATCCTCCGCGGCTGATCCAGGCCATTTGCGAGCAGTGACTTTCTGCGAGTAGTGGAACGCGCTTGCCTAACATCTGGGCTTCTGGGGATGCCGCAGTGAAGAACTGGTATACGTCGGAGCTCAGCGCCCCCCTGGTAATGGGGCGCGGCCTGGAAAAATGGGCAGCGACCCGTTCTCGCGCTTGGACGGGGCCGAACGAAAGGGGGGGGATAGGGGTTGCGAAATCTGCTGCATGCAGCTGGTTTCGGCCTCGCCGCCGGGCCCATCTCTCGATACACGGGCGCCTCCCGGCGCCGGGAGGCGCCGGGAAAATCAGCTACGGGAGCTGATTTCAGCTGGGAAAGAAGCACACAGACACAACTAATCGTCGACTCCCCAGAAAATATTGGAAAATATGGGAAGTGGGGGGGAAGACAGAAACCCAGAAAATATTGGAACATATGGGGAATCCTGTTATTTGTGTGTATTTATTTGTGTGTCCTGGGCCCCTTCAGGATTCTCACCCCCCCCCCCTTTGCTATCCCCCCCCTTCGCCCGGCCCGATTGGGCCGCGCCAGTCTGGGCCGCCGTGGCGCGCCTGAAGGCCGTCGCCGACGCCGCGCGCGCGGCGCCGGCGCCCCGCCCTGCGGCGGCGGAGCTGTCTCCGGCGGGGGGCCGCGGAGGGCGCCTCCCCGCGCCGAGCCGCCGGTCTGCTGTTTTTGTCAAGCAGTGGCGAAGCGTCCCGGCTCGCCTATATAGCCCCACCAAGCAATGTTCTGAGGACCTCTTGTGGCTCCCACGAAATGTTCTTAGAACGCTTCTGGCTTGGACTGTCTTGTTAATTTTTGTTCTTAGAACATTTTTGGATTCTAAGAACATTTCGTGGTATGACTATAGGAATGCCGGGACGGTCGGTCCCTGCTCAACTTTGGGTCCCGCAGAGACCCAGGCATGCTCGCGTAGTGAGAAAATCAGGACGGCAGGTTTTTGGCCACTTCCGGCCTCGAGGGGCCCTCGCCTGGCTTGGGGAGCGCCCAAAAATCATTCAGGACGAGAAACCGGTCCCGGGGAACGGGTCGGGACTTCCAGGGGGCGCCGTCCAGAAAATATCAGGACGCCGCATGTCGGGGGAGGGTGGCGAGGAGCCCAGTACTCCGCGGCCCCGCCGCGACGCATGCACACTGTTCATGCCTCATCCCTCGAGAGTTCTTGGATTTCTGGGGGGCCAAGGTCCTTTCGTTTCTAAATTGTGCTGCCCCGGCCTCTTCCGAGCCACTGTAGGGGGCCAGGAACACTTAGCAACGAGCACGCTTGGAAATGAGCACGATTAGATGTGAGCGACGTGTGCTCGCAGGCCCCGCGGGAGGCCTGCCCTAGTGTACATAACCAAATCATTCGGTTACGCTCGAAAGGGTTGCGCGTAACCAAAACGCGAAGAATATGGTTACGAGCGACCCCTTACACACTTCAGCTATCAAAATGCATTGAACACTCCCGTCTCCAAAATCGTCCTGGAACGATGCTCGCATAACCAAATCGTAACCTGATTTCCAATTTTCGCAACCAAATCATAACCAAATTACACAAGTCGTAACCAACGAATAACCAAATCGTAACCACATCAGAACCAAACCGCAAGTATGGAGGAGGCCCGGGTCGGCCTCTCCCCCAGGGGGGCCGGCCTTCCACCAGGCTCGGGGCCCAGACCCCGTCGAGTATAGCGACAAAAATCGCGACGGGAGGTTTTTCGCCGTTTTCGGCCTCTGGGGGCCCTTACCGGCCTCGGGGCTGTCAAAATAAACGCCTCGCGGGACTGTCACGTAAACGGCTCGGCGTGCATTTGACCATGCGTCCGACTTGCCTTGCATTTGTCTGTAGCTGCTTTCCCAGGCCCCATCGGGCAATGGAAAAACCACGACGGGAGGTTTGTCGCCATTTTCGGCGTCTGGGGGCCCTTGGCGGGCCTCGGCACTGTCAAAATATACGACTCGCAGGATGAATCACCGGTCCCGGGGAATGGGTCGAAACCTTGGGGGGTCGACGTTACGAAAGAAACATGACGTCGGGGGCCTGGGGGGCGGCCAAGAGGGGGTTGGTGACCAGGGGGGGGGGTGGCTATCATTGCGTGGGCCGTGACAGTTCCTCGGGTTTCGTGGCGCCTCTTCTTGTTTCTCGGGGGCGGGGAAGAGGGTGGTGATGACTAGGGGGGGGTGGATATCATGGCGGGGGCCATGATATTTCCCCAGATTTCATGGCGCCTCTTCTTATTTCATTACGTCCCTGGCCCCCCCGCTGGGCCGCGCACATGCCGCCGGTCATGATTTGCACCCTCCCCTCTTGGACACCCCCTCTTGGCCGCTCCCGAGTTTCACTGCGTTTAAGTCGGGCCTGTCCCTTTACAGGGGGGATGTTCAAAAATAGTCTAAAAATAGACTGGGGAATATTTGTTGAGTATGTTTGGGCATCTTTTTTTTGTTTTGTTTTGCATGTTTTGACTATTTTTCATGTGTCGTCCAAAATCCCCCTGTAGGGGGACAGGCCCGACCCAACACTGCGTCCCTGCCCTCCCCCCCCAGCCATGATTTGCGACCCCCCCTCGTGGACGCCCCCTCCTCGGCCGCCCCCGGCCCGACCTCTGAGCCCGTGTCTCGTCGGATTCGGGACAGCAGATTCGCCCCCCCCCCCCCCCCCCCCCCCCCCTCCCCCCCCCCCCCCCTCGCCCCTCTTCGATCGAGCACGAGCGTGCAAGTGCCTCTGGACCTGCGTGATTTCCGCACGCCGGGTCGCTTGCGGCCTGCTTCGGGTTCAGCCCGCCCCCGTCCATGCAAGTCAACTTGCCAGAGACTAGAAAGAAACAGCCTCCGCCGTCTTTTTCTCACTACCCAGACCCCCGACGCAGTGGTGCTGTTTTTTCTTCTCATACGTCGACCCCCACAGGTTTCGACCTATTCCCCGGGACCCGTTTTTCCTCCCGAGCAGTTACTTGACGGCCCCGAGGCCCGGCAAGGGCCCCTGGAGGCCGAACAAATGGTGCAAAACTTCCCGTCATGATTATCTCATGACTCGATGGGGCCTTCGAGTAGGGGATCGACTACAGAATTGATTTACCCCAAAATTGATTCTCCATCGAATCTACGACGAAGACCTAGAATGTTCAGCAATCTGCTGAGACTCCTGCAGTTTTTCTCAGACTCGACGAGAAAACCACTTTTGGGGTAAATCAATTCTGTAGTCGATCCCCTACTCGAGGCCTGCATGGGCCGTGCGTCATAGCACAAGACCTCAAGCCTCCAGGACGCATCGAGTAAAGCCTCCGGACGCCGCTCTGCTCGTGGCAGCGAGCGGCCCCCGGGCGCCCTCGCCGGGCCCGGCGACCGCGGAAACGCGACTCAGAATGACCACCCAGTCCCTTGGGGCCAAAAAGCTCGAGCAGCAGGCTGATCTGAGGCGCCCCGGTCCTCTAGAGTCTAGAGGATCGGGGCGCCTGAGATCTGCTTCCGATGACTAGCTCTAGAGTCTAGACTAGAGTCTAGACTAGAGTCTAGACTAGAGCTCTAGTCTAGAGACTAGACTAGACTCTAGTCTAGAGACTAGAGCTCTGGCATAATCTCGGAAGCTCTTGTCTAGAGTCTAGACTAGAGCTTCCGGTGATGCTGAGGCGATCGGTAACCATGAAGCCTCTGCAGCTGCTCCGAAGCTCGAGATGAGGGGCCGAAACTTCTGGGGGCCCACGTGCCCAGACACCCCCTCGAGCTTTTTGGCCCCAAGGGACTGGGTGGTCATTCTGAGTCTGAGTCGCGTTTCCGCGGTCGCCTCAGATCAGCCTGCTGCTCGAGCTTTTTGGCCCCAAGGGACTCTAGTCTAGACTCTAGTCTAGACTCTAGTCTAGACTCTACAGCTAGTCATCGGAAGCAGATCTCAGGCGCCCCGATCCTCTAGACTCTAGAGGACCGGGGCGCCTCAGATCAGCCTGCTGCTCGAGCTTTTTGGCCCCAAGGGACTGGGTGGTCATTCTGAGTCGCGTTTCCGCGGTCGCCGGGCCCGGCGAGGGCGCCCGGGGGCCGCTCGCTGCCACGAGCAGAGCGGCGTCCGGAGGCTTTACTCGATGCGTCCTGGAGGCTTGAGGTCTTGTGCTATGACGCACGGCCCATGCAGGCCTCGAGTAGGGGATCGACTACAGAATTGATTTACTACAAACTTACTCAGTTGTCTCGTCGAATCTGAGAAAAATTGCCGAAATCTCAGTAGATTGCTGAACATTCTAGGTCTTCGTCGTAGATTCGATGGAGAATAAATTTTGGGGTAAATCAATTCTGTAGCCGATCCCCTACTCGAAGGCCCCATCGAGTCATGAGAGAATCACGACGGGAGGTGTTTCGCCATTTTCGGCCTTTGGGGGCCCTTGCCGGGCCTCGGGGCCGTCCAAACAACCGACTCGGGAGGAAAAACTGGTGCCGGGGAGCAGGTCGAAACGGCTGGGGGTCGACGTCATGAAAAAAACAGGACGTCGAAGGTCTGGGGGGGCTTGGGGCCGACGTCGGTGTCTGACGAGGCGCCCTCCCGACAGGAGCCCCCGAAGCCAGGGGCCGCAGCGCTCTGACGAGTTCGGCGCCGTCGGCGGCCCGCCGGTCGAGACGGCCGTCCAGGGGCAGCAGCAGCGGGGGCTCGGCATCGCCAGCGCCGTGGCGGCGCAGCTCGGGCCCGCCGGCGCCGTGCAGCAGCAGGGGGCGCTCGGGATCGCCAGCGCCGTGGCGGCGCAGCTCGGGCCCGACGGCGCCGTGCAGGTCTCCCCGGGCCTCGTCGGTCGTCTCCCCTGGCATTAATTGAGTCAGGCATGTAGGACTGTTCAAGTATATTCGGAATTGTCTGGGGCTGATGTTTCTACGTGGAATGTGTTTTGCATATGTTTCTGCTATTGTTTATTTCTCTCGCAAGGTCCGCCTGTAGGAGGACATGCCCGATCTACTCCCAGAGTTCCGAGGAACGGTTTCTTCCGACCAGCGGTTCTTCGTCAGCCCTCCGGGGCCGTCGTCGTGCACCGTGGGGCGCCATAGCGAGCTTAGCCGATGCGCAAAGCCACCCCCAGGGAATGGGTCGGTACTCTTCGAAGGGTCGTGTGTGGGAATGCCCAGATCAGCGGAGGTCAGCATCCTCCTCCTCCTCCTCCTCCTCCTCCTCCTACTCCTTCCCCTCCTCCTCTTTCCCCTCCTCCTTCCCCTCCTCTTCGGTACGTGGGGGCGGCTATTTCAGCCAGGCTTGCGGCCTCGTGGAGGCTCTTTTTCCCGGCGCCCAGACGGCGAAATCACCCCTCGGCCGGCCCCCATGGAGCGAGGGGTCGAGAGCTCCCCGGGGGGGCCTTCGTCGCTAGAGAGCTGCGACGTCGGGCGGGGGGGGGGGGGGGAAATTGCGACGGAAGGTTTCCTGGCCAGCGTTCGCTCGCTTCTGGGGGCCTCCTGCGGGCCTCCATGGGCAGCATGCCAACGGCTCAGAGTGAAAAGCCAGCACCGGGGAGCGGGCCAAGGGCTTCGGCGGGCCCGCGGCGGGCGGCGGTGTCGCGGTCGGCCCTGCATGGGCTGCAGGCGCGCCCCCAGAGGCCCGTTGCCCGGTGCGCCGGCATGGGCGGTGACTGTCTGGCCCACCTGGGGTTGCAGGCGGAGCTGCGCGCGGGGCACGAAGCGCGCAGTGGGTTCGCCGAGATGAGCTTCGGCCGCGCGGGCGGTCGGGCCCACCGTGGGGCCGTGTGCGGAGCCCCCCCGTGGTGCACGAGACGCGGGAGGGGTGCGCCGGAGCCAGTGGTGGCAGGAGGTGTTGTCGGGCCCACTGCGGCGGAGGGCCTTTGTCCTCGTGTATCACCGAGCGTTTGAAGGGAGCGCCGGCATGTGCGGCGGTAGCGCATGAGGTCGGGCCCACTGCGGCCGTAGGGGGACCTCCCTGTGGGGCACGGAGCGTGCGAGGGATGCGCTGGAGCAGCACGAGGGAGCGGGGGGCGGTATGGAGGAGGCTGGCGCGCCACGCAACTGGGAGCAAACGATTCCACACGGGTTGGGTCAGCAAAGGCCACACAAGCCTGATGGTTACAGAGTCGATTCTGATTGGTAGGACGGCCCGATCAAATCAAGAGGGCCTGTGAGTCCTAAGCATCGATGGTGCAGAATAGGAAACATGCATGCATAAGCATCAACTGTTGGAGCTCCACACGGATTTCTTGTTTCGCGGGCTGCGCCAGGGGCGGGGCCGGAGGCGCCGCCAGGGGGCCCAGCACCGATCCAAGAAATCTGCGAGGTCCTCCGACAGTTTACGTTTATGCAGCTCGTTTTCCCTGCATTCTTCTCTGCATCGCCCGCCCTCCATCCCCCCTCCCCCATCCTCCTTCTCCAATCCTCTCCTCTTCCCTCCACCCTATCACCCTGTCCTTCGATCCTCCGTCCGCGAACCTACTCGCTCTATGGCCCCTCCTCCCTCCTGTCCTCCTCCATCCTCGCCCTCCCTCCTCACACGTCTCCCCGGCCCTCGAGCCTCTCGAGGCCACGCTCCGCGCCGTGCCGCCGGGGGGGGCCCAGCGCCGAGCCGAGGAATCCGCGAGGATCTCCGACAGTTTACGTGTATGCAGTTCGCTTGTTCTCTCGCTCCTCCCCTTCATCGTCCTCCCTCTTCCCTCTACCCCCCCTCCTCGACCATCCTCCTCCCATTCGGTCCTCCTCCCTCTATCTCCTGATCCGCCCCCTCTATCCTCCATCCCCAGGTCCTCCTCGCTCCGCCCCCCCCTCCTCCATATCCCCCTCCTCCCATCCGATCCTCCTCTCTCCGTGCCATCTTCCGCCGCTCCTATCCTCCACCCCCAATCCTCGTCGTTCAGTGCCCCATCTTAGTTGCCTCGATACGCCCATTTTGAAACGCAATACGGCCCGTGTTCAAGACGTCCGCTTCAACACGCTGCGTGTTGGCTCCACGTCTTGGACCACGTCTTGGCGAGTGCATCGCGTCGGACCCACGTTCTCGGCCGACGTGTGGAGCTCCGTAGCAATACGAGACGTGTTGCGCGTTGCCTCTCGGGGCAGCGACGTGCCCCACCCGCTTCTGCCGACTCGCCATCCGGGTTTTGGGCACCACAAGTGAGGAGGAGGAGGAGGAGGAGGAGGAGGAGGAGGAGGAGGAGGAGGAGGAGGAGGGAGGAGGAGGAGGAGGGAGGAGGAGGAGGAGGAGGAGGAGGGAGGAGGAGGAGGAGGAGGAGGAGGGAGGAGGAGGAGGAGGAGGAGGAAGGAGGAGAAGAGGAAGAGAAGGAGGAGGAGGAGGAGGCCCCGCCCCGCCCCTCCGCCCCGCCCGAGGCCGCGCTCCACGCCGGCCCGCCGTCCCAGGCCGCCCGGCCTTCGAGCGGCGCCGCCGCCCTGCGGCAGAGCGGCGCCGGCGCGGCAGGCGGCGGCCCGCTCGTCCTCCTCTGCGCGGGCGGCGCAGGGGAGAGCTCTTCGAGGGAAAGAGAGAGAGAGAGAGAGAACAAACAAAACAGAGAAGTAACACAAAGTAAAGAGAGGGAAAGGGAGGGAGAGGGAGAGCTCTTCGAGGGAGAGAGAGAGAGAGAGAGTGAGAGAGAGAGAGCACACAAAGGAAAGAGAGAAGGAGAGAGAGAGAGAGAAAAGAGAGAGAACAAAAGAGAGAGAGAGAGAGAGAGAGAGAGAGCAGAGGAGGGAGAGGCTCCCATCTCTCCACCCTGCGGCCGCTGTCCCCTTTTTGGGGAGCATCCTGGGAGGCCCTCGTCGCCACCGCTGGATTCGCCTCGAAATCTGGTCAGAACGCACCCAGGGACAGGTCCAGGGGCTAGCGACATCGGTGCCTGTTGGTTTCCCCAAGAGAGAGAGAGTGAGAGAGAGAGAGAGCCGTGCACGTCAGAGGTGCATTGGCAAGCTCGTGAAGCCAGCTGCCCTGGTGCAGTTCCGGCGACCCAGTTGCGGAACCAGGGTGGAACGACGGAGAGAAGTATCCTTGGGAGTCAGGGTCCGTACGGATCTCGAAGCAAGCCTGAAAGTACCGGCAGAACCAGGGCAGGGGCCAAAGGCGAAGGGCACGGGGGGAAGGGAGCGGGTCACTCCATACCTGGACGATTCAAGCTCAGACCCCCGACGTCATGATTTTTTCATGACGTCGACCCCCAGCGGTCTCGACCTATTCCCCGAGACCGATTTTTCATCCTAAGTCGTTCTTTGACGGTCCCGAGGCCCGGCAGGGGCCCCCAGAGGCCGAAAATGGCGAACAACTTCCCGTCGCGATTCTTTCCTTACCCGAGGGGGTCTGGGAAAGCAGCTACAGACAGATGCAGGGCACGTCGGGCGCATGGTCAACGGCACGCCGCAAGCGCTGCCGTCCGGGGAGCGTGCTTCGTGGACCTTCTGGGGGGGGGGGCCCTTCGTCCGGCCCAGGCACGAGCTTGCCACCAGCGGCGAGACATTCTCCGCACCTGAGGGCAACCAGCGGCGATCCGCCCCGTGGGTGTCCGCCGCGCTGGCGACGCACTCACCAAATTGCCCCCCTGCGAGGGCGACGTGCACGTTGGAGAGGGCGGCTGGCCTTTTTCGGCGGCCGACGCGCGGTTGGCGCACGGTCGACGCATGCGCGACGCACCTTTTGTCGCGAAGGGGGGGGGTCAGCACGCCGGTCGTCTTACTGGGCCTTAACAGGGCAGCTGGACCAGAAATGAACGGAACACGCCCTTCAAAATCCAATGTAGTAGGCATGCCAGAGAAGAAGTTCACAAGCTAGCATACATGTCTTGCCTTTAGTTGCCCCGGGGGGGCCAACGCAGAACACCGGGGGAGATTTCAGGAAGGCAAACGGTTGGTGGCATATCTACCCGCAGAAATCTTCTTCGAGGTTTTCTCAGGTCGTGTCTCTGCTGCGCCGTCAGGTGATCGATGATCCCTTCAATTGATGCTGGCATGCCAATGTCAGGAGGAGAAAACACACACATACACAATGAATCGTCGATTCCCCAGAAAGTATTGGAAGATGTGGGCACTCGGGGGGGAAAAACAGAAGCCAAGAACGTATGGGAAGATATAGGGAATCCTCTGATTTCTGTGCAGTTACTTGTGTGTCCCAGGGACCCTTCACAATTTCGTGTGCAGAAGGCCTCCCAGGACCGCCCGAGACCGCCGAGGGCCGGCGGAGACCCCCGAACAAGACAAGGCAAACACTTGCCGAGGCTCCGCGGGGCCTCCGTTAGCCGAGGGGTGGCACGAAGCTTCCCGGCCGAGCGCGTCAAACGAAAGTGTCGACTGGACGTAAGAGTGACCTTTCGCCGGAGTAACCTTTGGTGCGGGCCCAATTCGGGAACCTTGAGACGGGGTCAGTGCAAACGGGGGTCAGCCAGAGCGCCCGATCTTGCAGGATCCTGCATGGCCAGGGTCGCATTGGCCCGGGCTTGGGCGCAGGATCTTGCAGGATCCTTCAGGATCCTTCGCATTGACCTTGGTTTGGGTTCAGGATCTGGCAGGATCTTGCAGGATTCTGCAAGGCCTGACTGACCCAGGTCTGGATTGACCGGGGTCCGAAGATCCCCGACCAATCGGGTCCCCCGATCGCCGAGCGCGAAGCGGCAGCAGCGGCCTGCGCGCCCAGGTTTGGCCACCCCGCGGCCCCCAAAGAAGCCGCGCACCAAAGGTCGCCCTTCCCCAGGGTCGCTCTTGCGTGCTGCCGAGAGAGGGGCGCTGACCGTTCGGGCGACTGGGAAGCTCAGTCGGCCGTTTTGCGGAGCGGGTGCCTCCAGCTCTCGAACTCCATCGGCACTGGCGCGATGCCGCAAACGGGGGGAGGGGCGTGGGGGGGGGGGGGCCATGTTTCTCAGGAGGGAAAGCAACACAGACACGCTTAATCGTCGATCCCCCAGGAAAAAATATGGGAAACTATGGGAAGTGGGGGGGAAAACAGAAACCCGGAAAAAATGGGAAAGTATTGCCCCTTCAACAACGGCCTAAGCAAACTGATGGTGCTCCGCGCAGATCTCTTGCCTCCGTGAGGAAAATATGGGAAAATATGAGGAATCCTGTCATTTGTGTCCCAGGGCCCATTTCAGTTGCACGTGTGGTGGTGTCATGCGAGCACGACGCAGTCCTGAGATGACATCGGGGCTGCCGTGGTCGGCGCTTTCATAAAGGGGGCTGCGCAGGGAGAGGCCGGAGCGGGAGCACGGCGGCGGCCCAAGCAAGGCTCGCGTCGTGTTCCTTGCCCTCGCAGCGGCGGGCAGCGCTGGCGTCGAGAGTCCATGCCGTGTTTTGCCGCTGGTCCGGCGCCTCGCGTAGAATAGCGCGGCGTACCATCAATTATCGGCGGCATTGCGGCGTAGACGATAGAACCACACACACACGACCATACATCTTGTTCCATGAAATCTTCGGGCAATGTTAGTCCACGGGTTCCCCAAACAGTGTGTCCTTAGCTGTCTTTGCTGTGCAATATATGTGGGCGGGTCTATGTGGTGCAGTCTGTTAGGTGCGAGATATAAGGTGCAATTGGTTTTCACAAGCGACGTGACACATGCCACGCTCTTGCAAACACCCCACCCACCCACTCGCAAGTTGGTTAAAATCGGGCGTGTCCCTCTGCAGGGGAACATTCATAAATTGTAAGAAAAATTGCACGGGGACGATATCTTGACAATTGTTGATCAGTTTTGGATATGCTTTGCGAATTCTGGTATTTGTCTTTCAAAATCCTCCTGTAGGGGGGCACGCCAGACCTAAAACCTGGTCTGCAAAACCCATGCGGCGGCGATTGCGATGAGTGCTTGGCGTTGGCTGGTGCATCTCTGCGGCCGCGCCGACCCAAGCACGCGCGCGCAGCTGCCAGCTAGTTTGGCGCGACCGACGCGGCCGCATTGGCGCTGACCGCTGGGCACATCCCAGCGGGCACTTCAATTCGAGTCGGCGACTTGGGCGGGCGCGGCATCATGGCAACGTCGACAACGGTCGACGCGATGATGATAGTAGCGATGTTGGCGACGATGCTGACAGCGACGACGGGGCAGCCAGTGACGGCGCCGATGCTAATCACGCCGACGAGGATTACGGCGTCTTCGCGCCGGTGATAAAGATTTTGGAAGGATTTCGGAATGCGCGCGCGGCAGACGCGCGAATGTGGTTCCCATGGTATTATTTGACACGGATTTTGCCACCCCAGCACGCTCGCAAGGGCGTTCGAAAGATTTCGACATGCGCGCGCAGACCGTTTGGTTTCGTGTTATGAACATGTTGAACAGCGGATGGTTTTCTAAAGACTTCGCAAGAGCGCGCACGCTTTTGTTGAACATCCGTGTTGCGAAACCATGTGGTTTTGTATGCTCATTGGACACTCGATTTTGAAATCTGTCCGACACCGGAGGCATTTGAAGGATTTCGGCATGCGCGCGCGACGACGCGCGCGTGCGCACCTCGTCCGATTTTTGGGGCAAAAGAGCTTTGGAAACTTATGATTGTTGATAAACGAGTGCGCTTGCAGAGGATGGCGGGGGGGAGCGATACTGGCCCCCTTGGGATTGCGCACATGCATACGAATGGGACTGCAATAGGAAAAATAAATCTTCAACCCCGGGGGGGGTGGGGTGGTAGAACCTATTTCTTTTTTTTTGAAAGGCAAATCTATTTGGGGCACCTTACGTTGTGCAATAGATGCGTTGCGATCTATGTGTGAAAATTTGTGTTTTGCGACTTGCGTGGTGCAGTCGCTGCGATGTGATCTATGTTGTGCAATCTCTGCGTTGCGTTCTATGCTGCGCGAAAAGAAAAGGGTGCATTCTATGTGGCGCAGCGAATTTTGAAACTTTTGACATTGTCAGCCCCGTTGCTCGCGCAATCATCCCAACCACTCACCCACCCGCCACTTTGCAAAACCCATGAGGGCGCGATTGCGATGAGTGCTGGGTGTTGGCTGGTGCATCTCTGCAGCCGCGCTAGCCCGCGCATACACGCGCGCAGCGGCCAGCTAGTTTGGCGCGACCGACGCGGACGCGGTGGCGCTGACCGCCCACCGCGTCTAGCAGGCCACGCTGACACACGGGCACTTCAGTGCGAGTCGGTGGCCTGGGCGGGCGCAGTATCATCATAGCGACGTCGACAACGGCAGAGACGGTGATGATCGCAGCTATGATGGTAACAACGATGATGATGATGATGGTGATGGTGACGCGGATGATGATGATGATGATGATGATGATGATGATGATGATGATGGCGACGACGGAAATTCCAATGTCGGCGCCGATGCTGATCACGCCGATGGCGATGACGGCGTCCTCGCGTCGGTGATGCAGGTTCTGGAAATATTTCGACATTCGCGCGCGACCGGCGCGCGCGAGTGGCCCGTATGTTGTTTTTTGTTGACAGGGATCGTGCCCCCCAGCACACGCGCAAATGGTTTCGAATAGTTCGTGCATGTTCGCGCGGATGGCCCTTTGTCGAAAAATTTGATGAACATGTTGAAGAGCCCACAGTTCCGTCAAGATTCACAAACGCGCAGACTTGTTCGAAACCTACTGCTGCAAACACGTATGAATTATTGTGGAAATGTGTTCGGGACACTCGATTTTGAATTCCTTGCGACACCGAAGGTTGTTTGTGTGTGTGCTTTTTATGTCACAGAATAATGGATTTCGGCACGCGCGCGCGCGACAACGCGCGCGTGTGCTCCTTTTCGCCCCAAGGGGGTTATGAACATGATTGGCGTGTGATGAACGAGTGTGCGCGCATAGTTCCTTGGCAGGAGATGGAAAAAGAGGGCGGGGCCGCGATTTCAGCCTGGTTGGGAAAGAGCGAGGGGCAGATAATCTGCAACTTGCACATCCCCAGGGCGGGCTGATAATCCCGCCTTTGCGGGGTGGTATTTTCTAATTCCATTTGCAGTAAGGAGAATCGACGTGGTCCAATGTACTCGGTGCTATCCATGTGGTGCAGCCCGCGTGCAATGTATTGTTCCTCGCTGTGATTTGTCAACCCCATCGCTCGCGCTTTCAGCCCGTCCACTCCCGCAACTTGGTTTGCAAAACCATGCGGCTGCGATTGCAATGGCTGCTTGGCATTGGTTGGTTCATCACTGCGGCCGCGCTCGCGCGCGCAGGCTCGCGCGCAGAGCGCCCAGCTAGTTTGGCGACCCGACGCGGCCGCGGTCGCGCTGACGACTGGCGACTGCCCAGCGCGTCTCGCAGGCCGTTCTGGCGCGCGGGCGCTTCAGCGCAAGTCCGTGACCCGGGCGGGCTCGGAAACATGGCGACGTCGCCAACGGTAGACTCGCTGATGGCAGGCGATGTTGGTGACGATGATGACGGTGACGACGGGAAGGCCAATGACGGCGCCGATGCTGATCACGCCGGTGGCGATGACGGCTTCCTCGCGTCGGTGGTTCAACTTTAGGAACAAGGTTTCGGCATGCGCGCGCGGCCAACGCGCGAGTGGCCCGCATGATGCCATTCGACAAGGATCGTGCTGCCCCCCGGCACGCGCGCAAGGGCCTTTAAATGATTCGGGCACGCGCGCGCGAGAAGCCCGCTTGGTCGAATGTGATGACAAGAGAGACGATGGTTTCTTTTGGGATGCGCCACAGCGCGAGCGCAAACTTTTTTGACATCTTCTGCTGCAAAGCCATTGTGTTATATATGCGTTCAGGACACATGGTTTGACATCAGTACGAAAAGCTTCGAAGAAATTTGGCATGCGCGCGCGACGACGCGGGCGGGTGCCTTTTTGTTTTTTGTCTGTTCGGCTGGATTCCTCCGACAGCACGCGCGCAAGGGCATTCGAATGATTTCGACACGCGCGCGCGTGAGGCCCTTGTGGTAACGTGTGATGAACATGCCGATGAACCCATGGTTTCTTAACGATTTGCAGAATCGCGACCGCAGGCGTTTGTCTGAAAATCACGACAGTGGTCACATTCACGCGGTTCGCAGTCCCGCTGGGGGCCGCGAAGTCTCGGTAGATCTGCGTGGACTTCCATTCTGCTGGACTTCCCAAAAGCCCACAAAAATGACGACACATGCGCGGTTCGCAACCCCGCAGGGAGCCGCGAGGTGTCAGCGAGGGAGAGGACGACCAAACAGGGAAGAGAGGGGGTTGACGGGAGAGGGGACGAAGGAAAGGCGGGGAGAAAGGCAGGAGGGAGGAGGGGGGACGGAGGCGGAGGGGCGGGGGGACGAATGGGGAACGGGGAGGAAAGAGGAGGGACGAGGAGAAGGCGTGGCCCATACTGCTCTGTTCCAAACGAGAAAACCCAGACCCCCGACGTCTTGATTTTTTCGTGACGTCGACCCCCAGAGGTTTCGACCTCTTCCCCGGGACCGGTTCTTCATCCTGGGTCGTTTTTTGCCGGGCCCGAGGCCCGGCAAAGGCCCCTATGAGGCCGAAACTTGGGACAAACCTCCCGTCGTGTTTTTTCCCTTTCCTCGCGAGGGGTCCCTGGAAGACGCATTTAAACATAATAGATGCGTTTAGATGCGATCGCGCCCTGGCGCAGGCGAGAAGTCCATCGTATCTATTTCTTGCAACGACGACACTATATCTATCTATCTATCTATCTATCTATCTATCTATATATCTATGTATCTATATATATGTATATACACACATAAGTATATCCATCTTTCTATCCATACATATATATCTGTATATATATGTATGTATATATGTGTGAATATGTCTGTCGATATATATATATATATATATATATATATATATATTCCTATCTATATATATACCTGCTGATATATATATACATATATATATATATATATTGTGTGTGTGTTTAGATGCGCGCCCCCGGCCTGCGCGGGAGCGCCGCCGTATCTAAACGCATCGCCAGCCAGGGAGGGGGGGCCGGGAACCACAGCGCAAACCTCCTGTCAGTCGCGCGCGAAAGGGGGTATGGGGGAGGGGGGAAGGCTTCTTAGAAGCACCCCTGCTTCTTAGAAGGCGCGGGCCTTGTCTATAGATGTAAGGCCGGCGCCTTCTAAGAAGCAGCCTCCTTCTCAGAAGCCCTCCCCCTCCCTCCACCCCCTTGTGCCTCCCCCTCCCTCCACCCCCTCGTGCGCGCCGCCAATCCTGGGCGCTGCGCGAGGCCCGCCGCCGCACGGCGGCCCCCGGCCCGCGCCGGGGCCGCCCGGCGCCCGGCCGAGCGGCAGCCCGCCGCGCAGCACCCCGCCGGGGGCGGGGCGGCGGAGCGGCGCCCCGGAGGTGCTGGTCGCCCACGAGGAGGGCTCCACGCGCCGCCTCGTCTGATGGGCTCGTTTTCCACCGCCACCACCATAAGTTGGAGGAGGGAGGGCGAGGAGGGAGAGGGGGACGAAGAGGAGGAGGAGGAGGAGGAGGAGGAGGAGGAGGAGGACCCCCTACCCCTCCAACTTATGGTGGTGGTGGAAAACAAGCACATCATCGTCCCCTGACCACCTCGAGTCATGAAAAAATCAGCACGGGATCGGCAGTGGCGAAGTGTTCTGGCTCGCCTATGGTCCCACCAAAAAAAGGTTCTAAGAACCTTTTGTGGCTTCCACGAGAGGTTCTTAGAACATGTCTAGCTGGGACTGTCTTGGTTTAACGCATCAGGTTGATGTTCTACGAAGCTTGTTTCTGTTATTAGAACATTTTTGGGTACATAAACATAAAAACTCGGAGGTCCGCGCGGATTTCTCGGATCGGCGCTGGACCCCCCTCCCTGGCGCGCGGAGCGCACCAGGGGCGGCGCCGGAGGCGCCGCCGGGGGGCCCCAGCGCCGATCCGAGAAATCCGCGCGGACCTCCGAGTTTTCATGTTTATGTCACTTGTTGTTTCCCTATCCTCGAGTAATGAAAACAATCAGCACGGGATTGGCGTCCCGCCAGCATATTTATACTATGTGTTCGTCGCCCCCCCCCAAGGGGCGACGCGCGCACCGAGAAATCTTCTAGTATATGCGTCGTGGCGGGCGCTTTCTGGCCACACCGCTCAAGAAACGATATACTACAAGATGGGTCTACTATGTGTTCGGGTCGGAAGTATAGTACTAGTGTGTCTGTGTGCGTCCCACGTGAGGTTTTTCACAATGTTCAGCCTCTGGTGGCCCTTACTGGGCCTCGGGAGAGTCAGAAAGCGACTCAGGATGAAGAACCGGTCCCGGGGAACAGGTCGAAGCCTCTGGGGGTCGACGTCATGAACAAAATCATGCCGTCGGGGGTCTTGGGAGGAGGAGGGGGAGGAGGAGGAGGAGGAGGAGGAGGAGGAGGAGGAGAAGGAGGAGGAGGAGGACGAGGAGGAGGAGGAGGAGGAGGAGGAGGAGGAGGAGGGGACCTTTTCTCGCGCTGTGCCGAGAACAGGGTCTTCGCTACGTTCGGCTTCCAGAGGCCGCTGCCGGGCCTCGCGGGGCCGTCAAGAGAACAGCTCGCGAGGAGGGGGTCGACGGTATCAGAAATCATGGCGTCGGGGGCCTGGGTCTTACGACGTCCCCTTCTCGTCCTCGCCCTCGTCCTCCTCCTGCTCCCTCCTCTTCCCTGCTCCCTCCTCGCCAGTCCCGCCTCCCTCAGCCTCACCCTCCTCCCTCCTCCCTGCCCTCCCCCCTTTAGCCCCTCATCCTCACCCTCCTCCCTCATCCCCGCCTTCCTCACTCCTCCTTCCTCTCTCGTCCTCACCCTCCTCCTCCCTCCTCCTCCCTCTTCCTCCTCCTCCTCCCGATCGTCGTCCTCCAGTCCTGTTCCGTAGAATGAATAATTCCTCCTTGTCGCAACCCGAGGCCAGTCGGAAGGGCGGGCCGGGCGTGTCGCCTGAGACTTCCTTACCACTCATGATCCTGAACCTGAAAAGTTGGCAACAGCTTTAGAGATAGAGGGCGAGTGGTATTCAAAATGTCGTTGTTGCCTTAGCGCCTCGCACGCTTGTCTTGAATATGTGCAAGAGACTCACGGATTGAAGGCGGGTCGTGTTCAAAATGTGGCTCTCGCTTCAGCGCCGCGCACGCTCGTTTTCAAAATGCTCAAGATCTTCACGGATTGAGGGCGGATCGTGTTCAAAATGTGGCCCTCGCTTCAGCGCCGCGCACCTTTGCTTGAACATGTTGCAAGACCTCCACAGGTTGAGGGCGGTTCCTTTTCATAGTTTGGCTCTCGCCTCAGCGCCGCGCACATGTCTCTGCAACACTTGCAAGAGCTTCACGGATTCAGGGCGGGTCGTTTTCATAATGTGGCCCTCGCCTCAGCGCCGCCCACACTCGTGTACACACTTGCACAGGTTTCACGGATCGCGGGCGGCTTCTTTTCAAATTTGTGGTCCTCGCTTTCGCGCCGCCCACTGCCCTCTCTGGAACCATTGCAGCAGTTGAATGCGTTGAGGGCGGGCCCTTTTCAGAATGGGGCTCCCGCCCTAGCGCCGCGCGCAGTCGTTTTTCAGCATTTGCAGAAAGTGTCGTCACGGGTTCCCATGATCAACGTATCAGACATGGTTTCTGCAACGGTTCCGGATTGTCAGGGCGCAGCAGTTACGTCGATTCCCAAGGTTGAAATCCCAAGAATGGTATTCAGGCACGACTCAGGACCGTCAAAACGCAACAGTCAGGTTTCCTCGTGGCTGTGGAGTCGCATGGTGCGTCACAGTCTCGCCAACGATGTAAATTACATGGGTTGATCCATCGGTCTGGAAAACCGTTTGGGTACATGCTGTTGACTTGGGCGTGTTTTCGTATTGGTACAATTTCAAAATTATTGACTCCACGCGCGAGGTTCTGTGCGACGCTATGCGGGATCGTCTGAGTAGGTGGCGCGAACTGAACGCAGAGGCGGATTTATTGCGCTCCTTATCCATGGCGACCATTATACACAAGAAGACAGTGCGCCGTTCTGCCCAGGCTGCGGTTGTCAGACGCATGCTTGCTGCCCCTCGGGGAGGCGCTCGCCGACGAGCTGCGCGACCCGGGCGTCCCCGAGAAAGCCGCGATGAGGAACCCGTTGTTTCAGTCGTCTGGGTGGCATCTTTGCTTGAGGACTGGCAGCCTGAAGGGGGCCATGTCGGATGGGCAGTCGGCCACGATCGGCTTGCAGCGCGCCGCCCTGCGCGGCAGGCGCCCGAATGTGCTTCAGACGAGACCGAAACAATCAGCAGCTGCTCGGGATGGGCCCTGAAGCTCTGCGCGTGCTCCAGCCCGCAGCGCCCTGGACATGCAGAGACGAGGCCTTCCGCGGCACGGGCGCGCACTTCGCCAAGCGTCGCGGCAGCGTGCTCGCGCCCCGGGAATTCAACGTCGAAGCGCTGTCTCGAATTTTGTTCGCAGCCGCCCGCGAGGACCCTGCGAGTGTCATCGGCGTGGCTCCGCGGCCAGATTCAAAACAGAGGTCGTCTTCCCTCAGCCGTTCTCGTGTGCGGGAGGGGCAGACCGATCCGCTTCGGAGATCCCCTCCCCCATCGCCCTCCTCCCCGCGCTCCCGCCCCCTACTCCCCGGTCGCCTTCCTCCTCCACCTTCCCCGCGCCGCCACCTCGTCATATGCCTCAGCCGCTGCCGGCATCGAGCACAAGCTGCCCGATCCGAGCTCACGGGCTTGCCATGCCAGTTGCCATCGCAGCCTGGGCCGGTCCACGCGCGGTGCCCCCCGGCCGTGCGTGCGCGACGCAGCACGGGCGCGACGCGCAGCAGCTCGCGGGTGGCCGGCGGCACCCCTGCTGCCAGCAACGCGCCTCGAGTAGCCGCCTTGGCCCCGACAAGAGCGTTCTGGAGCACGGCGGTCCCAGGGTCGAGAAGCTGGTCGACGGACGGTTGGTGATCTTGGCCGAGGCGCGCGCGCGCGCGGCGTCGCTGCAACAGGGGCGCGCGGGCGAACCAGCGGCGAAGCTTCTCATGGGTGAGTCCGCGGCGACGCTTCTCCATCGTCGAGAGCCGCGCCCCCTCCTTTTTTCTGCGCCCGATCAGAGGACAAGGAACGAAGGAGGGGGCGACGCATCCTGGCGAGGAGGCGCCGCGAGGAGGGGAAGGAGGAAGAGGAGAACGGAGGAAAGAGGAGGGGGGGCGTGGGGGGGAAGGCCTCGATTGAGATGCGAGATCAACGCGGCCGGATCAGCATGGCACGAGCATAGAGTCAGCGTGGAAAGCGCAGGCTCGCTAGCGAGCTGGCGTTGAGATTGTTTGTTTCTTGTGAGAGACCAGCGAATCGGACAAAACTTCGCCAGCGAGAGTGGCTAATGAGCGCAGACTTAGGACCTCGAGGTGTGTCGCTGGGTGACGGCCCCAGGGCCCCGCGATGGCCCCTTTTTGATCCCTGAGTGGCAGCGGCGCCCGTATGGATGTTTTCCCGCAGCTCACAGCGGGAAGACGTCAGGCGAATGGGTGCGATGCCCAACAGCAGTTCCTGTTCGTTTTGTGCAGGACTCACTGTCCGTGCCGCCGCGGCCTGTGTCCATTCGGGACAGAAGGCCGCCTGCCCAACAGCGGCCGCTGTTGGTTTGGGACAACATTCTGTTGTTGGGCATTGTACCCATTCTTTCCGTACCCGTTCCGGGCGTCCAAATCAAATCCTTGAAAACCTTTGGCTCGGATGCGGAAGGTAAATTCAGCGTCGGCGCTGGCAAATCCGTGGTCATAAAAAAGTGCCGAACCCCGCATACCCCGAGATAATTCAGTTTAGACAGGTTGAACCTGGCCCGATCGGGCTCCATTTCGGGCTCAAGCTTGGCCGACCCAGCTCGAGGACCTCGATCGGCCCCCTCGTTCGCCCCGAATCGCTCTTGCAAAACATTCCCGGGAGTCGCTTCCGAATCCCCATGACTCTCAGAGGGGGGCCCGCCGCAGGACCGCGCGGCCGCGGAGGCTCGCGGGCGAACAACGCATCCGTATCCGCGGCCTCGCGGGCTGGACCCCTGGACCGCGACCCCGCGAATGCGGGTCGGTTTTTCGGGGACGCCCCGCTCAGAACGCGTCCGTGCGACTGCGCATCCGCGGGATCGCGCCCCGGAGTCCAGACCGCGATGCCGCGGACCCAGACCCCGACGTCATGGTACGTTCATGACGTCGGCCCCCAGACAGAGGTCCCGATCCACTCCTTGGTGCCAGCTTTTCATATCGAGTACTTCTGGCGGTCCCGAGGCTCTGCGAGAACCCGCAGCTGTCGAAAATAGCGACACACCTTGCGAGGTGTGGCTCCGGATCTCTGCGACGGTTTGCAGCAGTGCGCCCTATGGGGGGAGACCCCGCCTGCTCGAAGCAGGCGCCGAAAACAGCCAAGATCTACTCCAGAAGGGGGGGGGGAGGGGGGTGCGAGGGCCCGCGCCGATCGGCAAACCAATGCATAAGAAAACGATCGTTTTGCGCCGTGATGTTTGCATGTTTTTCGGGGTGGGCCCGGGGAGCCGCATGTGCTCGCCGGCCGCGACAGGCGCAGGCGCGGGCGGCGGGGCACCGCGGCGCCCTCGAGCCCGTCGCGGCGGGGCTCTCCGCGGCGTCGTGGCCTGCTGCTCTGCCTCTCTCTCTCGCCGGCTCGTGGCGCCGCGTCCCGCTCGACTCGGGGCGCGCCGGGCGGGCTCCGCGGGTCCCTCCTTTGTCCTCCGTCGGGGGATCCCGCCCGCCGGCGTTGCGGCAAACATCGGGCCGGCATTCGTCTTTTCGCCGTTTGCGAACTCTGGGGCAAAGGCCTTGGCCACAAGGCCGTTGGGAAGCGGCTCGCGATGACAGGTTGGTGGCCCCAGGGCAGAGACGGGGCTTCCGGGGACTGTGCATGGGCAAAATCAACGCATCGTCGCTCTCGGTGCCCATGCCGCTGCTCGCCCTGAAGAGCTCTGTGTCGCCACGGCTGGATTCGTTTCGAAGCCCTGGTCATACCGCGCCCCAGGAGATGCCTGGGGAACATCGGTCTCGGTAGTTTTGCCCCCCCCCTTCGCCGGAGTGGCATTCGAGCGACACGAATACACGGGGTCGTTTCCGCCGACATCGCCATACCATCGCGCTCGTTTGTGCCAGCATCGGCGCGCAGGCTGCCCCTCCGCGCGGGGTCGTGCGTGAGCGCCCCGGAATCTCCACAGGCAGCGCTCCGCCGTGGCTGCGCCCGCGTGCGCCCCTGCGCCAGGGTCGCGAGTGCCCTCTCGCGCAGGGCCCGGTGCTCGTCGTCGCTCCTTCGGCGCGCGGTTGCCGTCTGGCGCGCGGAGGGGGGGGCTCGGGTCGGACGAAAGGAGGGGATAGGGAAAGGGGGGGATACGAAATTTGCTGCATGCAGCTGGTTTCGGCCCCGCTGCCGGGCCCATTCCTCTACACATGGCCGCCTCCGGCGCCGGGAGGCGCCAGGAAAATCAGCTATGTGAGTTGATTCTCAAGCCCCCCCTTTGCTATCCCCCCCTTTCGCCCGACCCGAGGGGCCAGACCCGAGCACGCAGGCCGCCGCTGCCGCCCCTCGCACGCCGGGGGGGCGGCCGGGCGCGCCCCAGGAAGGTTTCACCGCTGCCCCGGGGGCCACTCGGTCGCGTGGCCGAGGGGAGCACACACCTCTTCCTCCTCCTCCTCCTCCTCCTCCTCCTCCTCCTCCTCCTCCTCCTCCTCCTAAGAAGCCCAAGAAGCCCTAAGAAGCACTAGTCCCGAAGCGGTGCGGTGACCGACCGTGCGGTGACCTCGAACTCCCCCAAGACCTCACCGCACGGTCCGTCACCGCACGGTCTTGGGGCCTCGGAGGCCCCAGTCGCCCGAGACGTCCTCGGAGAGGGACCCGAGTCCCAAAACCGTGCGGTGACTCCGAATTCCCACCGACTCACCGCACAGTGTGGTCACCACCCTGTTTGGGGACCCCCTATCCCAGACCCCGCCGAGTCAGGAACCAATCACGACGGCAGGTGTTTCGCTGTCTTTCGGCGTATATCAGAGCCTTGTACCGGACTTCGGGACCGTCAGCAACAGAAGGACTCGGGATTAAAGCTGGCCCCGCGGTCTGGGTCGTTACCTTTGGGGGTTGACGTTCTGGACGGGCCTGGAATCGAGATGCATCCGTTCCAAAGCGTTTCGGAACGCTCTCAGAGCGTTCCGACGCTCTGAAACGGCCGCGGCGCCCGATACATCCTCCAAACCCGCCGAGTATCAGAGTTTTCCCATTCATGTCGGTCCGATGTTGCCTCGATTCTACCTTCGCTGCCAATGCGACTGTAATTTTACACCACAAGAGTGTCACAAGTGTGAGGCCGAATATCACAGCACCCAAGAAATAGCAACACCGAATGCCCATGGTATAGCTCAATACAGCATAACACCCGAACGGAGCATGCATCGCAGAAGCGAGCACACCATGATATCGCACATCATATTGTGACATAGTGCGGCCTAACAGAGTATAACATAATTGAACATACCACCGCAAAAGGTAGCCGTTGAACTATTGCGACCACTACGGCAATGGCTATACCATAACATAATAAGAGATGGCACAGTTCAAGAATGGCCTCACTCCATGACGCAGCATACCATATCATGATACAAGGAACAAGCGCATAGTAGTGCACCACCATGACCGCTCTCTTCGCAGGACAGCGTACAGACCATATGCTTGCAACAAAACCATGGCTAATCAAATGCTAGCAAGCAGCTAATCAAACACATCACATCGCACATGTAGTTTACTGCAAAACCATTTGTTGAGTAAGAGTGTAATCAGACAGCAGCTGGAGTGCAATCTTATATCAAGCATGCAATACCGTAATTGTAGAGCAGGCGCTGAGAGTGTAACCATGAGCGCTACATCAGAATCCTGCGATATCATAATATCATGGACCATGACGTTTTGACTAGAACTTGAGTGAATAGTTCTTTCCACTTGCGTATATAAGATACGATAACGATGAATCTAATAGTATATCACATACCATACTTGTGTTGAGCAGCCGGTGCTGGACCAGAGCTGCGAGTAACAGCACGCAGTGTCACATGGCGTAAACAAAAACACACAGCATGGACTCCACATCACAAGATACTGTCAGATAACACCGGATTGTTGTTTGACGGGGAGGTGGGGCGGCGGGCCCGCGGCGCGCGGGCCGCTGATGTCGAGCCGTGGGCAGCGGCCGGCAAGCCGTGCAGCGAGGGATCAGTCACGGAAGAAGGGCCCCTGAGAGCAACGGGTCTCAGCTCCTGGGAGCCTCCCCGAGGCGAGCTCTTCACTCCGAGTCGTTGTCCGGAGGTGCCCGGGCCTGTCGAGGTCAACGGCACCGTAATTGGTATTTACTAGCGGGCACTTTGCAATTTTGCCGAAAGTTGCCACTTTAGGGCCTCTTTCTGGCAATGCAGCGTTGCCCGCATCGGGAAGGGTTGGGTTCGCTGGGTCACTGGCCAAAGTACCCGTTAGTGGAGTCCCCGTTTGTGGGGCGCTGACGAGGGCCCCAGGAGCCCGAGTACGGCAGAAAGCTCCCAGAGGACCCGTGTCTTCCTGGACGCGTGTCCTTCATGTTAGACGTTCGCTTACGGTAGCTTCGCGTCGTGTCGACGCGGCGGCGACCGCAACACGGGTGTCTTTTCGGTGGCCAATCAGGGGAGGTTGGTATACCTTCATACTTTCGTCGCCAGCGTCGACTAGCGTCTGGAGTCGACGAGATAGCGACGATTCAGCGTCGGCTAGCATCGATTCGCGTCGACTTAGCGTCGATCAGCGCCGAATCCCCATCGGTTAGCGTCGAGCCGCAAGAGCCGACAAGATGGTATGGGAGACTCATGAGTTGCCACCGAAGAACCGAAGAGGCGCTCAAAGTTGCCCGCAACCAGTGGTTACGAGCCGACTTACGTCGAAGGAGCCTGCGCCATCGGAACGCCGCGATCGCTTGGGCTTGGGCGGTCCACGCGGGACTTGACGTTGACGCGGCGCAGTCTTCACGACACGCACTTGCCATACGTTCGTTCGGCGTCGCAGTTTTGCTTCGTACTGTCGGCCCCTGGGGACCTCGATTCCTTTTCGGAAACTGGAACATCTACACTACCAGCGGCGGGTTATTTTCTCCATCCCAGGACTTTTTGAGGGTCGGCGACGACGTCGGGGTGGTGCAGTGTATACATGCTTCGCCGCTCACACGGGGCAAAACAGTGGTCGCGAGGTAGGGGGCCCGTGCATGAAGGTCCCCCAAATGGGATCGGAGTTCAGATGGGGTCGGAGGATCCGGCCGCATCGCCGACGCATCGGCGATGCGGCTCGCTGCGGAGCCCGACCTTCACCACGCCGACAGCGGCGATGCCTCGCCGATGCGTCGCCGACGTGCCGCCGATGCCTCGCCGAGGCGCCGCGCTCCTCCGACCTCCTCTCTGCTCGAGCCCCGCCCGGGAGGCTGCGATCGAGGCGCCGGAGGCCCGGGCCTGCCCTCCTCCTCCTCCTCCTCCTCCTCCTCCCTCCTCCTCCTCCCCCTCCCTCCTCCCCCTCCCTCCTCCTCCTCCTCCTCCTCCTCCTCCTCCTCCTCCTCCTCCTCCTCCAGGCAGAGAGCCCAGCCGCCCCGCCAGGCTCGAGGGCTCTGCGGCGCCCGGGGCCGCCGCGGCGGCCGCGGCCGCGGGGGCGGCGGGGGCGCAGGCCCGCCCCGCGGGGCAGGCGGAGGTCGCCCTCGAGAGGCCAGCGGGGGCGCCCGCGCAAGGCCGTGCGGGGCGGGGGTCACCGGGGTCGGGTCGGACGAAGACGACGACGGCGACGGCGACGACGACGGCGACGGCGACGACGACGACGACGACGGCGGCGACGACGGCGGTGACGACGGCGACGGCGACGACGGCGACGGCGACGACGACGACGACGACGACGGCGGTGACGGCGACGACGGCGACGACGACGAAGACGGCGGCGACGACGACGACGACGACGGCGACGACGACGGCGACGGCGACGACGGCGACGACGACGACGGCGACGACGACCCCTCGTCCTGTTCTAGCTTGCAGAGAAGGCCTCGGCCCTTGACCAGCGACGACCCCTCGTCGCAATTTAGCCTGAAGAGCGGGCCGCGTCCATGGTTTTTTCTTATATGTGTTAGCCCGCGTGCACTTCAAACACTGTGTCTCTAGCCTATATGTTGTGCAATCTACGAAAATCAATCCATGTGGTCTAACCGATGTTGCGCAATCTGTGTTTTGCAACCTGTGTGGTGCAGCAGCAGAAAAGGTGCGATCTACGAGGTCTCATATGTGTTGTGCGAGCCGTGTGCAGCAATCTATGTGGTGCAATCTACGTGGTGCAGTCTTCGTTTTGCAATTCATCGTGCAACATTATATACGTATGTATATATATATATATAGATTGTGTGAGGCGTTCCGGAAAGGGCCTCGCCTTTGAGGTTCAAAGGAATTGTCATTTCCTCCGTGGCGGGAGGCGGCGGAAGGCCGGAAGCAGGCGGCGGAAGCAACACGGGGGCGGCTTCGCGGGCGGAGCCCGGCGGAAGGCTGGCGGAAGGCGACGGAAGTAGAATATGCGCCCCCGGGACTTGGCATCGCTCGGACGTGCGCATTTTTCCTTCGGCGAGGACCATCGAGGAGCATCCTTGATCATTTGGCGAAAAAAAAACGCGCACAACACAAACAAGCACAGGGAATGGACGTCCGAGCGATGGCCAGCTTCAGAGTTTTGTAATCTGCCATGTGGTGCAATGCGACCCACGTGGTGCAATACATCATGTGCAACCTGTGCTGTACAATCCATGCTGTGCCATCGATATGGTGCCATCTATGTGGTGCAACTGACCTTGAAAAGCAAAGCTGGGAGTAGTCAACTCCACGGCTCGCGCAACCATCCCACCCACCCACCCGCCTTTTGGTTTGCAGAACTCATTCGACGGCGATTGCGATGAGCGTTTGGTGTTGGCTGGTGCATCCCTGCGGCCGCGCTAGCCCGCGCATGCTCGCGCACACAGCGGCCGGCTAGTTTGGCGCGACCGCCGCGGCCGCGGTGGCGCTGACCGTTCTGCACTTCCCAGCGGGCGTTTCAGTGCAAGTCGGTATCTCGGGCGGGCCAGAATCATGGCGAGCCGGAAGGTTTTTAGAAGGAGTCCGACATGCGCGCGAGGCCAACGCGAGCGAGTGGCCCGCATGGTCTTACGTGATTGGGATTTTGTTTCCAGCACGCGCGCAAGGGCGTTCGAATTATTCTGACATGCGGCGCGAGAGGCCCGAACCGATGGCTCGTTTCAAGGGTTCCGTAAGAACGCGCGGGCTCTTTTTTTTGCAAGTTGGTGATGCGAAACCATGTGTTTTTACATGTTGTGGGGACAGTCGATTCTGAAATCCCTACGACACCCAAGGTTTTCAGTAACATTTCGGCATACGCGTGCGACGACGCGCGCGTTGCACTTCGTCCCGTCTGTTGCAAGGGATTATTGCGACCGCGCGCGCGCAATGACGTCCGCGTGTCTCCTGCATGCGCACGAGCGAGAGGCACGTTTTGCAGGATTTGGTGAACATGTTGACAGCCCTCGCAGAAGCGAGGTTTTCCGAACACTCCCGTTGCGAAATCAATGTTTGTAGATGTGAATTGATCATCCCACCCATCCACCCGCATCCTGGTTTGTAAAACCCATGCACTGGCGATTGCGATGAGTGTTTTGCGTTGGCTGGTGCATCCTTGCGGCCGCGCTAGCCTGCGCATGCTCGCGCACACAGCGGCCTGCTAGTTTGTCGCGACCGCCGCGGCCGCGGTGGCGCTGACCGTTCTGCACTTCCCAGCGGGCGTTTCAGTGCAAGCCGGCGACATGGGCCAGCGCGGTATCATGGCAACGTCGACAGTTGTAGACGCAATGGTGATGGTAGCGATGCTGGCGACGATGATGGCAACGACGATTGCATGGCCAATGACGGCGCCGATGCCGATCACGCCGATGACGATGACGGCGTCCTCGCGTCGGTGATTGAAGTTGTGAAATGAGTTCAACACATGCGTTCGGTCGACGCGCGAGTGTGGCCCGCCTCTGACCTGCTAGCTGGGCGCGGTGGCGGTCTGAGCCGAGGGCCAGTAGATCCGACACCCTCCGTAGTTTGCCCTAAATGTGCACGGCGTGCCAGATTCTATGTAGTTTTTGGTGTTTTGCATACTTCGGTTCCCAATTTGCTTTCGGCCCAACCTTCCGGCCACCCCGAGAGCCACGTAAATATGTCAACGTGCACAACAAAGATTCCCAAGACGGCCAAGATGGCCCAAGATGGCCGCCGAGACGGTCCCACAACGCCTCTAAGATGGCCAAAGTGTCTTCAAGATGCCTCAAGGTTGTCGCAAGAAATCTCCAAGACGGCATAAGATGCACCTAGGATGGCCTGCACATGGCCCAAGCCGGCCCATGAGGCCCCTAAGCGGCCTCCCGGGCGGCCCAAGCTGCCTCCAAGAAGTCCCCCAGGAAGGCCCGAAGGCGCCAAATCATTGAGTTTTCTCAGGTGTTTGAATGACTCTGGCATTTGCTTATTTTCGGTTTTCCGACGGCCCGAGAGGCCTCCAAGACAGCTCCACGAGGGCCCCAAGAGGGCCCCAAGACGGCCATTGAGACCTCCAAGGCGCCCAAGATGTCCTCCAAGATTGGCCTGAAGCGCCCCAAGAGGGCCCCAAGTCGGCCCAGAGAGGCCCCTAAGACGGCGTCTGATCGCGTCGGACGGGCCAGTGGCGCTCTCAGACGGCAAGAGCTTCCCAAGGAGCCTCCAATGCCCCAAGAGGCCTCCAAGAAGCCCCCCAGGAAGCTTCCAGGAGGCCCAAAGAGTGCCCCAACAGTCTCTCAAGAAGGCCTCCTCATCCTCCTCGTTGCTTCCTCTCTCTACTCCTAGCCTTATTTCGTCCTCACGCTTTTCCCCACCGGGTGTCCACAACGGTTGGGGGGAACACATGGTCCGATAGGTTGGCCGAGCTCAGGCCGCATCATTCGGCCACATAGGCGTTTCCAAGAGGGTAGGGCGGCGGTGACTCGCCTCA